GGAAAGGATGTCCACTCTCACCACTTAAATTCATCATTGCACTGATGTTTTCGCCTGTGCAATGAGGTAAGAAAAAGAAATTAAAGGCACAAAGAATGGAAAGAAGTAAACTACACTGATTCACAAGTAACATAATCATCTATGTAGAAAATATGACAGAATCTACAAAACTACTAGGACTGAGAAGTAGGTTTTGCAAAATTACCACATACAAAGTTCATCATACATAAACTAACTGTATTTCTAAATAATATCAACAAACAACTGAAAACTGAAATTTTAATGTACCTTAAATAGCATCAAAAATATGAAACACAGAAGGGTAAATCTGACAAGATGCGTAAGACCTGTGTACTACAAAATAATGCTGACAGACAGAAATTAAGAAGTCCCATAAAAATGGAGAGACAGATTGCATTCATATGTTGGATGACAGAGTGCTATTAAACTGATAAGAACGGAGACTACACTTGATCTTAGCCAAAAGGCCGAGAAGTGATGAGAATGTTATTTACATGTAAATTCTCCTTGAATTGATGTAGATTCAACTCAGTTCCAATCAAGATCCCGCTGGCATTTTTGTGTCTTGTGTGTGTGTGAAAATTGACAACCTGATTCTAAAATCCATGTGGAAATGCAAAGAATAACTATGTTTTAGAATAAATAAAACAACTTGAAAAAAATGTCACAGGATTTATACTTCTAAGTTCCAGACTTGATTATAAAGCTACAGTAATCAAGACTATGTGGTCTTGGCATCAAGATAGGTAAAGAGAGAAGTTGAAAAAATCAGAGTCCATATAAATACCCATACACAACTAATTTACTACAAAGGTGCATAGGAAATTCAGTAGAGAAAGCGTTGTCTTTTCAAGAATAGTGCTGGAAAATTTGGATATTTTTATGAGAAAAAAAATTGTACTTATATCTAGACCTGGTACCAAGTATAAAAATTTACCCAGAACAGGGTATAAACCTAAATGTAAAGTAAAAATTATAAAACTTCTAAAAGGAAAAAACATATGAAACTCTTTTTGATTTTCATTTTAGGAAATATTTCTTAAATACATCACCAAAAGTTAAATTCATGAGAGAAAAAAACTGAAACTTAGACTTCACCAAAGGTAAGAAATTCTCTTTGAAAGACACTATTAAGAGACTAAAAAGCTACACAGAAAATATTCATAAATCAAATATCTGATAATGGACTTCTATACAGAATATATGATGAACTTTCAAAATTCAATAATAAAAGCATAAGAAATCAACTTTTTAAATAGGCCAAGATTTGAGAAGACATTTCACCAAAGAAGATACACAGATGGTAAAATAAGCACATGGAAAGATTCTCAGCATCATCAGTCATCAGGCAAATGCCAAGTAAAACAGAGTAAGGAGCCACTACGCAGCTATGAAAAAGTCTCAAGTTAAAATAGTACTACTAAGTGCTGACAAATACATGGAGCATCTGGAACTCTCATCTACTGCTCGTGGGAATGTGACACAGTGCAGCCAGTCTGCAAAACCGTTTGTGAGCTTCATTAATAAATATACACTCTATCGTACAACACAGTCATTCCAGGGCCAGGTATTTATCCAAAAAAAAAATGAAAGTATATGTTTACACAAAATTTCTTCATGAATGTTTGGACAGACAACATTTATTTGTATTTGTCAAAACTGGAGACTACTCACATGCCTTTCAGTAGGTGAATGGTTACATAACTGTGATCTCTATACCACTACTCAGCAATAAAAGGAAATAGACTATTGATACATACAACATTAGGGATCAAACTCAAAATAATTATACTGAGTGAAAGAATTCAGTATGTATTCTGTACAATTCAATTTATATGAATTCTAGAATATGCAAACAAATCTATGATAGAAAACAGCTAAGTGGTTGCCTGGGTACAAGAGGAGGGGGAAGACCGGGTGGGGCAGGAGACAGGGATTACAGTGAGCCACAAGGGAACTCTGGGGGTGACAGGTATGTTTGGGATTTGGAACATGGCAGTGGCTTCATGGCTGTGCATGTATGTCAAAACTTACCAACTTTTACACTTTAAATATATGCAGTATATTTTATAATTTGATAACATAACTTACAGCTATCCCTTAAGTATTATACCTTATAATACCTTATACCAGAATAACATTTCCTATTATACCATAATTATCACTTATATAATAGTTCTTTTTTTAAAAAAGAAAAAAACACTTTGCTATAAAGTCCAAGTCTAGATATATAGTTGTATTTAGAAGCAAAAGACAAAACAAAATAAAAAAATAATATGCCAGGAATGTTCACAATAAAACACTGAAAAAAGACAAATCAGGCAAAACTTTATCCTTACCTCCCAACATTCAAATAAAATTAATTCCAATTGGATTAAAGAGATAAATGTTCCCAAAATGGAATCTTTACTAATCAATAACAGAAACAGCTCAAATCAAAAGTAGGGAAATACTCTTAACAGTCAAGTCACAGAAAAGGAAGCACCAGTGGCCAGTCAACACAGGAAAAGATGCTCGTGCTCACTAGGAGGCCAAACCCCTCTGAAATTTCACCACAAACCAAACAGATGGGTGAAAAACATGAAGATGTGGAACAAGAACTCATCCCTGCTGCTGGGAATATAAGACAGCACTGAACAGCCTCAGAACATGATGTGGTCTAACACAATCAGGTTGAAGCCACCCACACCTATGGACCAGTCACTCTGCTCTCCATTATGCGTCTTCAGAGAAACTCTTACATGTGTTTCCAAGGAAGTAACAAGAATACATAGCAACATTATTTAATAGCCAAAAATTGGAAATAACATAAATGTCCAAAACAAGGGAACTGATAATTCAACTACATTAAAATATTCATGTAATTGATTTGTATAAAACAGTTTTTTAAAGTGTAAAGTAAACCTACACATTTTAACATGAATCTCACATAAAGCTGGTGGAAAGGCATGTTCCAGAAGGAGGTATACAATATAACACTATGTGCAGAGAAGTTTACCAACATGCAAAACAACTCTCTATATAGTTGAAAGCACCCCCCAATGAATGAAAAAGGATGAAGGCAGTGATCAGCATGCTAATGCAGAAGTCAGATTCTGAAGGGCGGGGTTCAGCAGGACACAACCAGGGAGGGGACAGGGCTGTCACCTGGTCTTATAACGGTCTATTTCTTAGGCTGAAGGGAAGGAATACTGGCATTCACTGTATAATTCTTCACACCCCATTGTAATCTTAAATAATCCATCATAAAATAAAAGAAACAATTTATGGGAATTTATGAAGTAGAGCCGAGGCACAAAACAGTTACCAGGTTAAGAGCAGAAACTGGACAGTGTCTAGCAGGGGCAGATTTATTCTCAAGTGCTGTGTTGAAGATCAGGCCCAGCCACAAAAGTTCAAGAATGGCAGGCTCCTAGACATGCTGGGAAAGGGATACAAAGTGAGCAGAGTGTGGCTCCCTGGGGGAGGATTCCAGGGAAGCCCCATCTGGGCTGAGCAGGAGAGCACAGAACGGAGGCCTGCAGAGGAGCTTCCTCTCCAGAAGCTCTCAGAGGCTCCTCTTTCTTCACCAGCCAAGCACCTCCCTGCCCTGTCTCCTTGTCTGCCTGCTGCTTCCCACTCACCTGGACAAAGGTCCGGAAGATATTCGCTCTCCTCTCTCCAGGGCTCGTCGCCTTGTTCCAGTTGTGTGATAAGTTTTGGTTTAGGAAAGGCAATTCCTACTCACAGGGAAAAAAACCAAGGTGACCTTGGTTAGCGGTTTAAGAAGCCGTCACAGAACTCAGAGTCATCTGGGGAGTTCAGTAACTCAGAAGTCAGGGCAGGGAAGCACCACGTCGGGGGCAAATGCTGTCTGAATGCTGAGAGCGAGTGTCTAAGGGCAGGAGCGATGAAGCATGGATCTAAAGGCGGTGTACTGAGTCTCCACTGTGCTTGGATGAATACAAACGTTCCCCCATTTGAGGCAAGGTCACCTTGGTGGAGGGCTCAGCTTTGGAAGAGGGCTGGAAATGCAGTGTCAGACACCATACACGTGTGTACACACACACACACACACACACACACACACACACACA